GGACTAGGGATTTTTCTTCTTCTTAAATATAAAATTTTCCTCAAGTTTAATCAGGTCCTGGTAAAGAACAGTAAAAAAGATGGAGGTGGAACCATCTAAGCATAGTGTCACAGGCTTAGAGTTTCAGCACCACTCTAGCTGCTCCCGTGCGGCACCAAGACGTTGCTTCCACTCTCGCAAGTACTTGGTCAGCCTAATTCCCGTGCACACCTTAGCCAACACACTCCCCTCGTGCGCTTACTAGTGTTGTAGTTGCACTCGCCCTCTCCTCACTTGGCTTGCACACTCACACACACTAAGACACTTAAGTTGGCAAGGAAAGAACACTTCTATTACTTCAAAGAATGCTTTGTACAAGGCTAGCACTCAAGTTCTCTACAAGGCTCTCAAGACTCACTCTAGGACTTGTTGTCCACAAAATGAAGTCCTACCTCTATTTATAGGCATCCCCATCCCCAATGGACGGCTAGGATGCATTTTAACCGATGGTGGAGATCGATTCTCTAGAATCTTCTCCCACCTTCTTCACACTTCCATACTTATCCATAAATATCTACAACATTCTAGAACTCTCCATACTGCTCCACACAACTCTGGAGAACTCTAGAACTTTCCACACACTTCTACATATTTCTACACATATCTAGAATCTTCCACACAACTCTAGACTACTCCGGAAGACTCTAGAAACTCCACTTGCCATGCAGTTGCCATACAGCATCCTCCTCAGCGTCTGCGTGTCGCCTGCGTGGCACAACCTCCATAGGCGGGGCGTGACATTCTCCCCCACCCATTTCCGTGACGCCCTCGTCACGGTTTCTTCAGCTGACCCAGCCTCTCGCAGGTCATCAGCACTTGCGCATATGTCCTTAGCCCAAACGTACGAGCGCCCTTCGGGAGATGTGAGGTCCTCACGAGCTCCATCGTGTTGATTGCCACCTCTGGACTCTCCTTCCTGCCCACGAGCGGCACCATGCATGCGGCCTTGTCTTCCTCGCCTCCAAGTATCATCAACGCACCAAGGCATGGTAGTGGCGCGGCGTTGTTCCTATCCATGAACTCCAGCCCCAGCACCATGTCGTGGTCGTCCATCTCCGCAACCTGGAAGTCAGCCTTGCCCTTCCATCCTTGCATGTATAGCTCCACCTCCTTGCACACTCTACTCACGCGTGCCTCCTCGGAGTTAACGGCCTTGATCCAGCCCTCCGTCTTGCGCATCTCCAAGCCAAGTTGTTGCGCCTCCTCCGGGGTAATGAAGTTGTGTGTAGCGCCCGTGTCTACCAACGCTTGCACGGCTTTGCCACCAACCTGCACATCCACATAGCGCACCCCAGCTACCTTCTTTGCCTTACCCTTCTTCTTGGTGTCATGCGCCATGCTACTCAACATCTGCATAGCCCCCATGCACCTATCTTCATCGCTGCCCGCATCGTCCACCTTGCCCTTGCCTTTATCCTTCACAAGGGCGCTCATGGCCTTCTTGTTGGGGCAGTGTCGCAATATGTGCGGCCCTTCGCACAAGTAACACTTCGGCTCCCACTTACCCTTATCGCGGTGCTCCCATTTGCCACTAGCCTTGGACCTCTCTCCACGGTCCTTGCCCTTATCATGGCGTGGGCGTCTCTCCTCATCGCTGTGCTCATCATCACTGGACTTGGGCGAGCCACGTTTCTTAAAGCGCTGGTCTCCCCCACCTTTGCCGTGGTCCCTCCTGGGAGACATGGCCCTCTTGTCATCGTGCCTAAAGTCTTCAAGGCGCTCCGCTATAGCCATTGCGGATGCCAAGTCTCTAGGCTCCCTCCTTCTCAGCTCTGTGGCTACCCAAGACTGCAACCCATCAATGAACAAGCACACGCGTTGCCGCTCCGGCATCTCTGGGATCTCCAGCATCAAGTTGGAGTACTCCTTCACATACTCCCTTATGCTGCCCTTCTGCTTCAGGCGCCTTAGGTTGATCATGGCAAGGTCCTCAACGCACTCGGGATAAAACTGCCTCTTAAGCTGCCTCTTAAACTCCTCCCATGTGTCAACTGCTCTTGCGCCTCTACCGGTGAAGCGCTGCCTCCACCATAGAGCGGCAGTGTCCGTGAGGTACATAGTGCCTGTCTGCACCTTCTCCTCATCATCCTCGATCTCCATGCACTCGAAGTACCGCTCCATGTGCCAGAAGAAGTTGTCAATTTGGCGCGCATTCCTTGCCCCATCGTACTCCTTGGGCTCCGGCGCCTTCTTCTTCCTTGGCTTCACCACGACCTCGCGCGCCTGAGAGAACTCCTTCTTGCACTCGGCAATCTCCATGCGCAAGTCGTCTACCCGATCATGCAAGTCCCTTTCTTTCTCTTGCGCCTTGTTGGCGATGCCATCAATCAGCTCGTAGAGCTCCGCCATCCTTCTCTCGAGCCTATTAAACTTAGTCTCCGTGTAGACCAAGTGTGTGGCAAGCTTCTCCTCCAAGCTCTGCTCTAAGATGTGGACTTGGTGGTCTCCTCCGCTAGCCATGTCTACTCCAACAAAGCTCCCTTGACGAACCTGCTCTGATACCAACTGTCACGGGCTTAGAGTTTCAGCACCTCTCTAGCTGCTCCCGTGCGGCACCAAGATGTTGCTTCCACTCTCGCAAGTACTTGGTCAGCCTAATTCCCGTACACACCTTAGCCAACACACTCCCCTCGTGCGCTTACTAGTGTTGTAGTTGCACTCGCCCTCTCCTCACTTGGCTTGCACACTCACACACACTAAGACACTTAAGTTGGCAAGGAAAGAACACTTCTATTACTTCAAAGAATGCTTTGTACAAGGCTAGCACTCAAGCTCTCTACAAGGCTCCCAAGACTCACTCTAGGACTTGTTGTCCACAAAATGAAGTCCTACCTCTATTTATAGGCATCCCCATCCCCAATGGACGGCTAGGATGCATTTTAACCGATGGTGGAGATCGATTCTCTAGAATCTTCTCCCACCTTCTTCACACTTCCATACTTATCCATAAATATCTACAACATTCTAGAACTCTCCATACTACTCCACACAACTCTGGAGAACTCTAGAACCTTCCACACACTTCTACATATTTCTACACATATCTAGAATCTTCCACATAACTCTAGACTACTCCGGAAGACTCTAGAAACTCCACTTGCCATGCAGCGTCCTCCTCAGCGTCTGCGTGTCGCCTGCGTGGCACAACCTCCATAGGCGGGGCGTGACAATAGTGTCCCGTCCAACATAGTGAATTTTAGAGTTTCATAAAGTTTGGATCTACTTACATAGTGAATTTTAGAGTTTCATAAAGTTTGGATCTACTTACCAATACGGCAATACGACGTTAATTGTATAGGGTGTGGGTGTGTATAAGTGTTGGACTTCCTCGAATCCCAAATCTTATGATAAGAGAATATGTGTCCAAAAGTTGGATACGGGTATATAGACACGTTATCTCTAGGACTCTCAGACTGATCATCTTGCTGCAACAAAGCAAGCTTAGGAATGCATCTTATGGAAATTTAGGTCTCTATGCATTTAAATACATGATATGTTTTAATGTTGTTATTTTATAAGAAAATAGTCAATTATAACTGAAATTGTATGGGGTGTCGTAAAAGAAAGGGTTTTCATCTATCTTATAGATCTGAAACTCACCTCTGCTATAAATTTGAGTTTTTCTTCTTCAATTATTCATGTGAATGAATGATAAGGGAGTACAATTTTGGAAAGCAACTTCCCTTTTCACTCGTTGTAACCTATTTTTTCCCCACAACCCAATTTCAAATTGGCCCTAATACTTGCAAGAAATGAAGGAATGAATTAGCTTTTTTCTTTTTCTTTTTTTCCTACTTCAGTGAATTGGAATGAATTAGCTTTGATACCTCATAGAAACAAAGATCTCTGTAGAGAACATTTTGAAAATTGACTATGAAAAGCAAACTGTATCAAATAAAGCGTATGTGTGTGTGTATATATATAAAGTTATAAACGTATATGCGTGTAACAATTGAATGGGGCTAATCTAATGTATGTATAAAATTGGAGACTGTGTTGTGACTTACAAGGATGTTGAGCTTGCCAGTGAAAAGAGAAGACACCTTTTCCATGAGCTGTAGGCGTTGGTCTTGAGACGATGCATCACAGACCGAACCGGTGACTGCGAAACCCTTACCGGTCCATTCTTGCAAACAATGGCTGAGCTCAGCTTCGTTGCGAGAACAGGTGTGTACCGTAGCCCCTAATTCAGCTAGTTCCTCCACAATCGCATGTCTGGACACATCAAATCAAATCAAATCAAATCAAATCCCTAGAGAGAATTTTAAGAGCGATTAGATCAAGAATCATTAATCAGACTGAAAAATTATATATAGATTGAGAGAGAGACCCGATTCCACGAGTGCCACCAGTGACAAGAGCGTTCATTCCGGTGAGAGACCATCGCGAAGATCCGCAGCTGCTCTCTACCTTCGCCATCTTCTTCTCTCTCTTCTCTGCAAATGCAACCACTAGTAGGCCATTACCAAACGGTCCCATCACATTTTCTTTTAACGGTAAAAAATTACAAGGCGGTAACGACACCCAAAGAAAAATTTGTCTATTTTTAGACAATAACTCGAAAAATGGACAAAGAGACCCTGAAAATGATAAATTGACCTTATTATCCTTTGAAATTAAATTAACATTTTAATTGACTTAAATACCTTTGGATTAAATCCAAACCCATCTTAAACCCGAACCCAAACCCGCTTGTGTGTATATTATACAGGTCACCGGAGGAGGGAGAACAGAGAGAGGAAGAAGGGAGATGAGATAGATGGTGGTTGTGGCTGCGATGGTGGGTGTAGAGAGAAGCGAGTCAGAGATGAATGGGACGAGTTAGAGCTGGACTCAGCCGAGGTAAAGAGACTCAGGGATGACCTCCTAAATCTCGACGACTTGGATCTCGAAACCAGTTGTCTTGACCTTGACTCATTCATGAAAAGCTTAGAAGAAGAGATCTCAGTGTCGCCGGCTCCATGGGCGAATGTTGTAGATCTTACGTCAGACGTCGGAGATTCCTAACCGGAGCTCGGCTACCTCTTGGAAGCCTCCGACGACGAGCTTGGCTTCCCTCCGTCGACTGCGTCGTCAAGCGAGGCGGAGAACAACGAAGAGACCGAGTTGGTCCGAGTTCCGTCGGACTCGGCGAGTTATGGGGGTTTGATGATGAGATCCCGAGTTACAACTCGTTCGGGGTTGAGAATTGTTGGTCGTGATAATTAATATTAATAACGGCGAGTACGTTACGTTAGACGGGTTGTTCGTTCATTCGGATCAATTATTCGGGTCATCAGAATATGCGGATGGCTCGTGGTGGTCCGAAACGTTGCCGGCGCAGTAGTAACGGCGAAACGTTGTAGTGAAAAAGCATAGTGTAAACGGAACCTAAACCCGCTTGTGTGTATATTATACAGTTCAACATCTTTGGACATAAACACCATTGAGGGCAGTCCAAAGATTGTGGAAGTGGACACTGGCAAGCCCAAATCAAGATCCCAGAGAACCAAAACCTGGGTGTCAGATTTCGGCGACGACCTATTTGGCCAAACACTCTCCTCACCCTTTCCATGTCGAATTTTGACCCGTTTATCAATCATCGGTCACCGGAACTCCCAAGACATCGATTGGGGACTAACCGGCGACGAATGCCGGTTCTCTATGGCCGAAAGCACCCCTCGGTTTGTAAATTCTGGTGGGTCTAATGCCCCGGTGACGTCGGTGAAGAACGTCTATGTTGATACTTATTTCCGGCAGTACATAAATTATCCAAATAACATGGCCAGTACACAATCATTCAAGGCCAAATTGAGGTCCCAAAGTGCTCCAAAGCAGAGGCCTAAACCTGAATGATGGAGTCCAAGAATAGCCTAAGTGCGGTTAGAGACCGAGCTCCGGCGAGGTCAAGGAGGTAGCGGTGGCAGAGCTCCTCTTCGGCGTCTTCAGTTGGGGGTGGTGGTCACTGGTTGTTTGTGTGTGTGTATATATATATCTATATATAGAGAGAGATGAAAAGGGTAATTTGGTCATTTAAGTTTTTGATATTTTATAATTAAAATTAATAAAATAGTGAAGGGTAAAGTGGACTTTTCACATGATGTAAGGCTTTATTTGGATGATAAATTTTACAAGGGGGTGTTGTTGTCCAAAAATAGACAAACTTTTTCCTGGGTGTCCTTACCCCAAACCTCAGGGGGTATCTATGTACTTTACCCTTCTTTTAATTATAATCGTGTCGTTTTGATGTAAATAGGTAAAATTAAACCTAACTCATTTAATAATCGTGTCAAGAACCTTCAATATTAATGTAACCCGTTTATTAAACAGGTAAACATATTAACCCGTCTATTAAACAAGTAAATGTATTAACCCGTTTAATGACCTATTTATCAAAACGAGACATTTAATATTTAATCAAATAGTAAAAAATAGAAAAAAATCATCATAATTAACACAAATATTCAAAATAAAAAGAAAAATCATAAGGCGTAGATAGGGGTGGCAATATTTGATACGACACGCTAACACGATACGAGATAAACGGGTTTGGGTTTGAGTTAATCGTGTTTTTGTTATAATCGTGTCGACACGGATTGACCCGCTAACTAAACGTGTCGTATTCGTGTTTGACCTTGTAAACACGATTATGACACGATTAACCCGATTAACTAAATGTGTCAGATAAACGTGTCGTTTTCGTATAAAAAATGACCCATTTAGCAAAACGTGTAGAATAAATATATCGTATTCGTGTCAAAAATGATTTAAATGTGTCTTTTCATGTCGTGTCAATTCTTAACCCATTTATTAAACAAGTTATGCGTGTCGTGTCGTGTCACATGTATAATAATCGTGTCGTGTTCGTATCAACCCTAATCGTGTCCGTATCGTAATCTTGTCGACATGAACATGACACGCTAACACGAATTGTTACCCCTAGGCATATATAAGGTTTATATTGAAATGACTTAACTATCCATAGTAATTGGGTTTAAATAGATAACATATTACATAGTTATTCACGATTTATAACATGTTAAGTTAAATGAGTCATAAACGGGTTACACGGGTTAAACTCCTTAACCCTAACCCTAACCCGACAAGATTAAGTAAACGAGTTAATCATGTCAACTCTTTTATGATTCAATCCCATTTATGCTAAACCCAAACCCTTTTAACACATGTCGTGTTGTCGTGTCATAATTTGCCACCCTTAGGCTCAGGGTGGTACCATAAAATCCAGGTCGATGCACCAAATGACAAAAAAAATAAAAATAAAAAAAAAATAAAAAAAATGATAAATGACCTCTCATGAGGTTTTGGCAAATCTCAAACAAGTGAAGCATTTCGAATTTATTATTTCGACATCTCTTAAGTTTCGGTGTATGCTTAACAACTATCCTCTCCATTAAAAGTTAGTAATTTTTTTTTTAATTTTTTTTATTATTATTTTTTTTTTCTAAAAATAATCAAGTTGCCCTTACACTCAATTTTTTTTTTATTTTTTATTATTTATATACAATATGTTTTTTTAGGATGGGGTAACGGTGATGGAGAGGAGAGGAGAAAATAATAAGAGAAATGAGATGGAAAACTAATATTTTTTTTTAGATTTTATAATATATTTTGTGTTATAAAACTATATTACATATAAGGGTATAATTGACTTTTTATAATCTTAAGATAGGTCAGAGTAATAAATCTTAAAATCTCCACTCATGTGAGATTTGTCCAAGGTAAATGTAATTTATTCAAAAATTATTACATGGTCTTAATTAATTACATAATGTCATGCAAATAAATGTGTCAATTTTATTTAGTATTTTTGCTCAGATGATTGATTGTAATATGTCGGGATCATGTAATCTAAAATCTTGTCAAAAAAAATTTCCCAATACATTCCTCATTTTACATTCGGTAACATATATATTGAGCTCTTGGGAGTGATTATATAGAAGTAAAAATGGTGGTGTTTTGCAACTTTGTGTGCTAGAGGTAACTAAGGTTTAAAGGATTTTGATTTGTAAAAAATAATAAATAAATAAAATTTAGTAAATAAATTACCAAAATTATTTCCTTCGAAGTTGGATGGACTAGAACCATCTAATAATTGATTGAGAAATTATTAGATGATTCAAGACCATTTGACACTTGATGGGCCAGTTCAATTTAGACCGTTGTTGAATTTTTTTTGTGATATATTAATATACTCTTGTGGGACAATTTTCTTACTCGGAGAGTTTGAATTGAATTGATCTATAGACTAGGACCATTTAATAATTTCTCGGATTGTGAGTGTGCACAATCTAAGTAGTATATGATCAGTTTTTCTTTTTTTCTTTTTTTTTTTAAATTCCTCTTTTTTAGTTATTCAACTTATTCAGTTATAATGTGTGAGTGTGAGTAAAACAATTATAGTGTGTGATTGCCAATAGATTAAGACTATCTAATAATTTTTATTCTTTCAAAGTGCAGTTATATTCTTGACCTTGCTGGATTTGGACCGGACTCAAGTTCGAAATAAGTTTTTCATCCAGATCCACATCACCATTTGGGCCGATTGGACAGAGAGAATTTGGGCCAAGTTGGAAATAAGTTTGATCAAGGTTGTGCTTGGTTTATTAGGAGTGAAAAGGGTCTTATCAGTATAGTGTCAATTTTATCTTTATAATAAATATGTGTGTGTGTATATATATGTATATATATAGAGTAATATTATAAAAGAGATAAAAATAAAGCTTTAGAGAGAGAGAGAGAGAGAGAAGCTTTTGTTTTTGTTTTTTTCACTATCTCATATATATACAGAGCAATGGATATATATATAGGCATAAAGGAAGCTTTCAAAATAAGCCACACATGCAGCCTTTCACCCCACGCCACTAATTGCAATCTTCCATTGTAAGCTTCACATCTTGATGTCATGGATGACATGCTTTATTGTGGACCCCACTAAATTCTATATACATAACACTCCCCCTTGGGGTCCACAATACTACACTAAGAATATGCCTCATTAAAACCTTGCTAAGGAAAACCTAGTGGGACAAAACCCTAGCAAAGGAAAAAGAGTACAGTATTCTTATGTATCAGAAAATGGTATTGCATAGATTAAAACTGCCTCATTAAAACCTTGCCAGGAAAGCCCAGTGGGATAAAACCTGGATGAAGGAAAAAGAGTACAGTATGCCAATACCTCTTCGTTCATTTGCTCCCCCTCATTAGATCAATCCTGAAGATCCTTTAGTTGACATATTCCAATGTTGTGCACCAGCTTCTTGAATGCTGTAGTTGGAAGCGTTTTAGTGAATAGATCTGCTAGATTTTCACATGAACGTATCTTCTGAATATCAATATCACCATTTTTCTGGAGTTCATGTGCATAAAAGAATTTTGGTGAGATGTGCTTGGTCCTGTCACTTTTAATATACCCTTCCTTCATCTGTGCAATGCATGTCGCATTATCTTCATATAATACTGTTGGGCTTTCTTTGATTGATGAGAGACCACATGTTGTTCAAATATGTTGGATCATTGATCTCAACCAAAAACATTCTCTGATTGCCTCATGAATTGCGAGTATCTCAGAATGATTTGAAGAAGTGGCAATCATTATCTGTTTCATAGATAGCAATGATATAGTTGTACCGCCACAGATAAACACATACCCTGTTTGTGAATAAGCTTTATGTGGGTCAGAGAGATAGCCGGCATCTGCATATCCAACTAATTGAGAATTTGATGCTTTTGAATAAAACAATCCCATATTAGTTGTACCACGAAGATATCGCAATATGTGTTTGATTCCATTCCAATGTCTGCGAGTTGGTGCAGAACTGTACTGTGCTAATAAATTGACTGGAAAAATTATATCAGGTCTTGTGCAATTTGCAAGATATAAAAGTGCACCAATCGCACTGAGATAGGGCACTTCAGGACCAAGGAGTTCTTCATCATCTTCTCGGGGACGAAAATGAGCTTTCTTGATGTCAAGTGATCGGACAATCATGGGAGAGCTTAATGGATAGGCTTTATCCATATGAAAATGTTTCAGAATCTTTTCTGTATATGTTGATTGATGGATGAGAATACCGCTCGAAAAATGTTCAACCTGCAGCCCAAGGCAGAATTTTGTCTTTCCGAGATCTTTCATTTCGAATTCTTTCTTTAAATAAGTGGCCGTTTTTTCGATCTCACCCAATGTTCCCACAAGATTCAGATCATCAACATATACTGCAACAATAACAAAACCAGATTATGATTTGTTAATAAAAATGCATGGACAAATATGACTGTTCGCATACCATTCTTTGAGTAAGTAATCGCTAAGGCGATTATACCACATGCGTCCAGATTGCTTCAATCCATACAAGGATTGTTGTAAATTTATCGAGTGCATATTATGTGGTTTTGTTTCAGACATTTTAAATCCCTCTGGGATTTTCATATAAATATCACTATCTAGTGATCCATATAAATATACTGTAACCACGTCCATTAGATGCATATGCAATCTTTCTGTTATTGCCAAATGTATTATGAATCTAAATGTGGGTGCATCAATCACATGAGAGTATGTTTCCTCATAATCAATACTAGGTCTCTGTGAGAAACCTTGAGCTACTAGTCGAGCTTTGTATCTCATGATTTCATTTTTCTCTTTACGTTTTCATACAAACACCCATTTGTACCCAACATGATTAACACCCTCAAGTGTCTGGACTACTGGTCCAAATACTTCATGTTTAGCTAATGAATTTAGCTCTGCTTGTATTACTTCTTTCCATTTTGGCCAATCATTTCTTCGTCGACATTCTTCGACGTTTTGAGGTTCCGGATCCTCATTATCAATATCA